CGGCACTCTTTCCAGTGGGAGCAATGATTCATTGAGGTCTTATGCTCTTAAAGAAGTGTTCGTACAATATGCATTTGGTTGGCTGGCCGGGTACATTTAAGGAGCAAAGCATTAAGTATCTGTTACTGTATGTGGAGAAGTTTAGCACTCTTGGTGTTTCTGCAACAGCTTCTCGCTGCAGCGAGAACAGTCCCTCTGGTAAGGCTGTTGTGTAAGTGCTCATCGGTGAGGAACATGTGGCCTTAGGATCCCTGTGCTGGTGGCACTTGAGGGAGCCTGATGAGCCAGGGCAGGACGCTTGATGCCCTGGGCTGTCTTACAGCCCTGGCTCAGGGTTGTGGGAGCTGCCTGCTGGGCTCCTGCATGGGGGAATTCTCGTAGCTCAGGGCTGAACCAAGCTCAGTGGCTCTGCTCAAGCCTTCTCAGACTGTTGCAGAGGAATGTCGTTATTCTCCCTTAAATAGAGAGATCCCAAATTTACCTGCCCAGCATGATGTCTTTGTCATTTGAAGGTGCTGTTGAAAAAAAGCCATGAACGTAGGCAGTATTTGTCCTACACAGCCATGTTATCTGGCATTTCTGTGCAACTAAGTTCTTCTGTTCTCTGTTTGAATAAAACTCATTATAAACATTTGTCTCAATTTAGTTATTGAGGTAGGAGGTGCTAATGTCCCTTCTGCCTCTCTTACCCTCTTTGTTAGCAGATGATTTAGCTGTGGTGGGGTGGGCATGCATACGTGCCTGCACACATGCTCATGCTGTCCAAGAATATGATTATAACATTATGCTCAGCCTCCTGTAATTCATAATTTGTGCTGGTTTTCCAAGCAACAGCTGTGAAGAGAACGTGTACAAACAATTTGAAAGCCCTGCAGCCAGGTGTCCTGCTTGTTCAAGCAAGAGCTGATTTCTCTGTTTACTGAGGTTTCTGTTTATTGACTCAAGTAAATCTGAGTAAGATGGCAAAGCTGTTAAAGACTTGCTATAAAGACAAGCTGCTAGCTGTAGTAAGTATTCTTCTTGGCAGATATCCTCAGCCATGAGAGAACATGGTGGGGGGGGAGGTGCAGGGTGGAGAATGTAGAGTTGTTGTTTTAACTGGAAAATTCCCTTGTAATTGTTTTGCCAGGCTTTGTGTAGTGCATCCAGAAACCACTCCATGAAATGATGACAGGCTATGCAGATGGACAGCTGTGGCTTAATATAGCCAAATTAATGTACTTCCCAAGTGCTCTTGACTTGCTGTGCTTTCTGCTACATCACTTATTGTGGCTTTTAGTATTGGCAGACCTCTGCATGGTACTATTCATTCAGTTTTACTCAATTCTCAGATTACCCATGTACTAGTTCTGAACTAACTTAAACAAGCAGTTTGGGAATATGCGGTTTGCAGGGGGGGTGAGAAACAGAAGAGGGAAAAGAGAAAACTTATTATGATGCTGTGAGACATTTTCCTGCTTACTCATGCTTGCAAACTGTTGTGGTAGGTGTTTCTGATTCTTCATTTCATCTTTTAAAGTAATCAAAAGCATAATTAAAAAGCAATCATCTTGCCAAGTGATGATGCATAGCCAAGAACAGAGCTATTTCTAATGTTCTTAGTGATGGTAGTATCGCTGATGGTGTTTGGTGTTCATGTCCATGGCACTGGTGAGTCCAGCTGAGGGTGGGAGCTTCTTATCATGCTGTGGGCTTGAAAAACCCAGAAGGAAAGGGAGATATTCACCTTTTGCCTTCCATCTCGCGTTGGGCAGGCAGGTATGTGGGGCCCAAGGGAACAATGAGCTAGAGTTGTTCCAGAACTAGCTGCTTTTAATACCTTCCCACTTGCTGCATTGCATGAAATTTTAGGATATTCCATGTATTTTCCCTTCTCCCCTCCATCCCCCTTTCTCATCAGATTTAAGTGATTCCATTTTGCCCCAAATAACTGCATGTTTAGTGTATTTGGAATAAGAGTGGGCTGCAAGTGGTCACTTCCAGCCACCAGTTTACCCAGTTAACAATGGGTAGGAAAAAGAATAATTGCTTCTTGGATTAAGGTGAACAGTTGTCATCTTCTTTTTGCCATTGTGTGCATGGATGTAACGAGAGCTCAGTGTTTGAGCAGCAGGGCTTGTGGTGAGAGCTGGCTGGGGTGGCTGTTCCTGCTCAGTGAGCTGTGGGCTGATCCAGTGCAGGCTCCTCATAAATTCCTTGGAAGAGGTGGTCCTGGCCATCAGATCCACCGGGAGAATTACAGCTCCCAGGAGGCTCTTCTGTAGGGACCTTCCATCCCTTATTTCACTTGTCTGCCTGTCTGCTCAGACTGGCCTTCCCTTCCATGCCCTCAGAGGGCTATGCTCTTGAAAGTGGAACAGCCTGCTTTCAGCCTCCATCTCGAGGGGCTGGGTTTCTAAGCTGGCACAGCCTTTGAAATACAGAAGTCATAAGGGCTGTGCCCAGAGGGTTGATGCATCTTGAATAACCAGAGCTGGAAATTTCACTTTCAACTTTTCCAACCATTGCTGCCACTTCCACGCTACAAAATGCTATATTTCTCTATTTGGCTTTCTTACTGTTTGTCTTTCTAGACAGTTTTTATATAACTGAGTTTCACAGCATGATACAAATCTGACCATTTAATTTAGACTGTTATTATTGGAATATAAGGCAACTTTGTATACTCTCCTATTTTTCCAGCTATAGTTATGCATGACGTGGAAAGCATTGAGCTGCCATTGCAGAAGATCCTGTTCTTGCTGTCTCTGGACAAATATATTGCTTCTATTACTTCTGTCATGTGGGCCTTCCATGGACTGCAGTGTCTTCCATGTCAATCCCAGAGATACTTGGGATACACCAGATAGCATTTGAGACTGTTAAGTAACAGCTCTTGTGGCTAAAGACTACTTTTTCTTCAAGCGTTACTGATTAGAATTCAGTTTTTCGAGGACTGAAATAATTTTCATGAGGGTGAAATGACTAAAGATGAAGATCAGTACTTTGTTTTTTTTTTTCCTCACAAGTAAGCTCCTTATTTTTACTCTTCCTTTTCCTTTTAATTTATTATAGGTTTGAGCTGTCTGGAAGATGAAGCCCTGGCTGCAGTTGGTGTTCTTTACCTGTATTTTTCTGATCTGGCACACGGAAGCGGAGTTCTTCACCTCCATAGGTATGGAAAGAACCAGTGCATGATGTGATGTAGTTAACGTGATTGCCAAAACTGTTAAAGTTTACAGTTGAAGCATATGGCTTTTTTCATATGTCCCTGTCAAACACTGTCTGCAATAGGAAAAGCTACTCTTCTGCATGCTTGATGCTATTCCGCGTTGCAAGTCTTGCATCAGGGCAATCTGTTTGCAGTTGGGTAACTTATAAACATGATACAAGTTTCTCTGGGGACTGTCAGTAAAATAAGACAGTGCCTATGTTTTATTAAGAACTGTGTACCTGTTGCTGTGTTGAACACAGCACAAACCTTATGGTAAAAAGCTTAGTCCTGAATTTGATTTATGCAAAGTCATAATTAGGTGAAATACATTGTTTCACAGAATCTGAAATTTCCTGTCTTCTCAAAAAACTGGAGTTAGGTGTCAGAAGGAAAAATTAATATCCACCCTACCTTATGTGTGTTTTGTAAGACCTAAGTAAATCCTGAAGAATTCATTGTCATAAAAATCAATCTATTTTCAGGATTTATAACAACTTAGTTCTTGTGTTCTAATATTTGTGATATAGCCATGTATTACTGTGGTAGAGCCTAAAAATAAGCACAAACTGAGTTTTCTGCTGTGACTTGGTCTAATGTTTTTCTGTGGAAGAGTGTGGGGAATTTACCCCCATGAGGGTAATAGACATTGATTAACTACAGCTGGCTGTTCTCCAGAACATGCTTTGAGCTCAGTGGAGCTATGCTTCTGAATGCTAGAACTCCAGACTCCTGGTGGTTTATTTTGCACGACTGTGCAGAACTGCTCAGCCAGAGCAAGGCAGAGTGGTGCTTCGCTACCAATGCCCTGCACGTGCTCCTGTCCTCTGGACTTGGCTAAGCAGTATTTAAAACTACATGTGTATTATTTGGTGTTCTATTTTTTTTTCTCCCCAAGTTAAGTAGCTTTTTGTACAAAGTTACTGTGAAGGATCACTTCTTTACACTTACCTATTCCTGAACCTTGTGTAACTCTGAAAGTAGCACAGCCTGCTGACTTCCATCTGCTTAATCATGCCTCATTAATAATTACTGTGGAATGCTGAAACTAAGGCTGTGGCTGCATTTATAAATCTCATCTGGTCTTTCAGTGTTTGGTCTTTGAAAAGCAAAGTTTGTCATGGCAATTAAGATTGACACGCTAGCAATTTCCACTAATGCTAATCAGGAGAGAGTGTGTGTGTGTGTGTCAGTCTATAAACATTAGTCTGAAATTCCTCTGTATTTAATGTTAGGTTGTGTTTCCACAGTTACCCATATTGAAAAGCTGTAATTTTAAGTGATGCCAATGGTTAGATGAATAATTTATTAGTGTGATCTAACCTGTATCCATATGTGGAACAGATGCTTTGGCAACTATTTGCATCTTTTGTTGCTTTGACTCAATAGCCATATTAATGTCAAACCTTCCTTTTGGTTGTCTTGCACACAACTGTAATACTGAAAGTAATTCAGAGGCAGTGGAAGGGTCACAGCAAAGCTACATGAGCCACTGAAGTTGGGATTTTAAAAGCCCCTTGAAGCATTTGAATGCCAGACCTGTATGTATAATAGCTTTTGTGGTTTACAGGCATTGCAGTGTATGCCCTTAATTTGTCTGTTCTTTGTGGTGGTTTTAATAGCCCTAGAGCATCTAAGGTCTGTCCTCTTTTGGAAATTGTTACTTTTTTTAGGTCTGATTAACATTTGCTCATACTCTGTTTTTAGGTCAAATGACAGACCTGATTTATGCGGAGAAAGACTTAGTACAGTCTTTAAAGGAATATATCCGAGCAGAAGAGAACAAGCTCTCTCAGATTAAAAGGTAGGGGGAGAAGTTTGGATAAGGAAGGGTGGCAAAATGGCTCATCTGTGTTCAGTTACACCACACCTCTCTGTCACCACTCATTGCTGCTAGATTTTGTTAGTATTTCCTCAGTAGATAATCACAGTGAGACCATAGTCAGTACCTATAAACCTGCAGAGAGGGGGCCCTGCTTCAGGTATCATTTAGACTTTGCTTGTTGAGAAACTGTCTGGGCCATTCTCACTTTTTTCCCTGTCCTTGTACCATCACAGTGCTCCTGAGGAGAAGATGCTACTCATGTCAGAGTAGCCTTGTCCATGTGAGTTAGGTACCTCTGGGTGCCAGTGCTCTGTGCTACCTGGTGTTTCATGGCTTCAGCACTGCTTACGACAGCCAAGTGTGCCAGCTGCATTGTTTAGTGGAGCACACGCTGGATCCCTGGCTCCCTTCCCGTGTTGGCTTTGCTCTCAGGGACAGCTCTCCTGCCTTGTTCTCTTCAGCACATCTTGGACATTATTCTGTGTGCTTAGATCACTTGAAAGGCTCTTGCTGACAACTGGTATTTTCTGTGTCCCTTAGGAAGACTGTTAATACTTGCCTAGCTGAAAGTAATACCTAATAGATTATTCTAGTGTCACACCCTAAATGAGGTCCAGGTTCAGAAGAGCCGAGTCCTCTAAATGGACCCATGCTTTCCAAAGAATTTCTAAACTCCAGCCTATATGTGGCAGTTTGATCTCCCTTTTGGGGGGTGTAGGGTGGGGACAGGGCTATAGAGTGAGTGAAATTATAGAAATTCCTTGTCATTTGTGTACACAAATGTTCATTTCTTGAAAAGCTGCCCTTTTGAGGAAAAGCAATCTCCTCTTTGAGTATTGTTAAAGAGAATGTCAGTTCAATCTATGTATAAACTGGCCCTATTTCAAAAAAAGACTTCTTTTTTTATGGACTGACATGCAAGTGCTTTTTTAATGTGTTAGATTTTCAGTTGACTTGTATTTTGGTGTATTTGTAAGCAAGAGTATTCTACCACTGTGCCAATATTTGACCTCTTGCACCCTGCTAGCATATGAGGCATGTGCTTTGTAGCAGAGGTGCTAAATTTTATCATTTGAATATAGTAAGACTTTTCACTATTTTGTCTGTTGGTTCCAGAGCTATGTTTATGATTCAAAAGCACATTGTGATGTGAATAAAGAGACTAAACTTGACAGTATTTACTCCTTTGCAAAATAAATATTGAATTAGTGAAAGTCTAAATTGAAAAGAGTGCAGGTGAGACTGATCTTAATATATGTTGCTAATGTGATATCCCTGCAAAGGATCTCTGGAAAAACCATCTTACTTTTGTTCTGCTGCAACATCATAGTATAGAGAAGAAGCCAGGTAGCCTGACAATATTTACCTGTGTTTATTTAAAATTGTGTGTAACCATAGCTGTCTCATGGCTTACCGAGTTTGACATTACAGGCTTAAAGGGGATTTCTTGTGTTCAGTTGTTAGCTTATCTCAGCAGAGTGTTTTCTTCCTACTGAGTAATGAGAGGAACACACAGCTGGGCCAGGTGTTTGTGTTAAGGGATAATACAAAGGGCAACAGAAGAAATTCTCACTGTAGCATCAGCAAGGTAGCTGGCAGTTCAAATGTACTATAACTGATGCTTTGAAGTGGATCAACAGTGCAATCTCGGTGACTGACAGCACTGCCACTGTACTGCCTGAGGGTTTCCAGTCTGAGAATCAGAGCTTATGGTTTACTTTCCATAAAGTTAAAAAGCTCTTGGTTTTATTTATGCTTGTATTTTTACTAAGATAAATGACACTCACAGTGACTGTGTACTATATCTCATTATTTTCTGAAGTGTAGCATGCTGGAAACTGATGGCTGAGACTCATTACAAATGAGATGCATGCCCACTGTAGTAAGGTTTAAAATAGTGGGCAAGGAAACAAATTCCTTTTAAAAGAAAGGCTGCTGTAATTAAAAAAATCAGTTGTAATTCACTTTATCCTTGTGAAGTTGAAAGCTGGTTATGATGGCGAAAGCAGCAATAAATTGATTCTAGCTGTGTAATTAGGATGACTTAAGAAGGAAGACATGCATTCATGAATTGTTCTCGGACTGAGGCACACACTTCTCATTCCAGCTGGGCTGAAAAAATGGATGTACTGACTAGCAAATCAGCCTCTGATCCAGAAGGGTATCTGGCACATCCTGTAAATGCATATAAGCTGGTGAAGCGTTTAAATACCGACTGGCTGGAATTGGAAAACCTGGTTCTTCAGGATACAACACATGGTAAGGAGTTACAGGGGCAAAGACACCAGCAGGAGGTAGCTTTACAACACAGTTGCTTCTCTTCTTCCTATTCTGGAAAGCTGCAAACTCAGCTGTGGTTTAAATATTATTGCCAAGTTTGTTTGAAACTTAAACTAATGACTGGCCTCTCCTTTACTGGTTACCCAAACAAGTGAAACCTGTGACTGAAACGCATCTGTCAAGACTCAAAGAAACTGTTATCTCTCTCGGGCCTGTTTGTGTTTTGCTTGGCTTGTGCTGTTTGGGGCAAAGGGAGAACAGGATATATTGAAGTGCTCAGCCGTGGTGGCAACTATTGTTTTACGCCTAGTCTTGAGCTTTTTGTTCCTTTTTATGAAAAGACTTACTCGTCTGCTTTCCCAGTCTGCTGCTTCTCTTGGCAATCATTGTTTCTTTGGCCATGTTCATCGGTTGGTAAGATTGAAGAATCAAACTGACCCATCCTGAACTGGTGAAAGAATTCCTATCAGCCCCAACATTAACAGTCGGCAGATGTTGTGGTCAGCCTGATAACAGGATAACATACAATTATTATCTGTAAACCTATCCTATATCAAATGTTTTCAGCACTAATCTTTGCTTCTGCATCATATTGTCAAAGTGTCTGCCTGAATTTGCTTCCATAGCTTTTCTAAATGTAGGTTTATTTTTACTGGACTGCTTAAAAGTAAGGGAGAAGCAGCTATGTTTTTCAGACAGAACACTGCATGTTTTCCCTTTCTACTCTGCATATGCTAAAGTTTAGGTACTTGAAAGTATTTTTTCCAGCCAAGATTTTTTTATTGCCTTTTGGAATAGTCATCCTAGATGGAAATTAAATACTCAATTCTATTGAGTACTGCTGTCACTAATTCTTTTTCTAGAGGCTTCCTTTTCCAGTTTGGCTTGCTGTATGACTAGAAATGGCTGGGTTGTTTTCCTTCAGCTGATTGCCCCCACATCTGCCCAACCAACCTGCTGTACAGCCTTGATATATTTATATAGTGCATTTAATCTTATTTCTAAATGTCACCTGGTTTTACTTGTCAGGTTTAAAAGCCTCTTACTGAGTAAGGCCTTACCCTTACTTAGGGAATCCCAGATCAGGGTCTCTGTCCCTTGAGCTGAGATTTGAAAAGCTTTCATGGTTTTATAGATTGGAGCACAGAGTCTGAAATGATTTTCAAGTGCTATGCTCTGCAGCTGACTCTGGATGTTGCAAGAGGGCTACAAAAATGATCCAAGGGCTGGAGCACCTCTCTTAAGAGGCCAGGCTGAGAGAGTTGGGGTTGTTCAGCCTGGAGAAAAGAAGGCTGCGGGGAGACCTGATTACAGCCTAAAGGGGGCCCTATAGGAAAGAGGGGGAAAATCTTTTTAGTAGGGCCAGCTGTGTCAGGACAAGGGGTAATGGTTTTAAACTAAACCAGGGTAGGGTTAGACTAGATATAAGGAAGAAATTCTTTACAGTGAATGTGGTGGAACACTGGAACAGGTTGCCCAGAGAGGGGGTGGAGGCCCCATCCCTGGAAGCATTCCAGGCCAGGTTGGACGGGGCTCTGAGCAACCTGATGTGGTTAAAGGTGTCCCTGCTCACTGCAGAGGTTGGGCTGGGTGACCTCTAGGGGTCCCTTCCAGCCCAAAACATTCTATGATAAGAGAACTGATGAAAGCTGTTAAGTTTTCATGCTAGAAGGAAACATTGCAGGAAAATGAAGATCATTAGATTCATGTTATACTTCAGTAATTGTGTGGCACAAAAAAAGAGAGGTTTAGTTATTAATCCTCTCTCTCTTGCTCATGAGCTGCATTTCTTAAAATAAGACAGAAAACAATGGTTTTGTAACTTGAGAGCCTAATAAGAGGCTTTAAGCCTGGATTATTTGAATCTCAATTCTCAAAACGAAGCAGATGTTTCCTCTTCTGTGTTAATTTAGCACTGATATTTATTCAAACTCTGGAATTAACGTATTTCCCTTTTCCTGCAAAGGCTTTATTGCAAATCTTACTATTCAGCGTCAGTTTTTTCCAACTGAAGAAGATGAGACTGGAGCTGCGAAGGCTCTGATGCGCCTGCAGGACACATACAAACTGGATCCTGAAACTCTCTCTCGAGGAAACTTACCAGGTGAGCACAGAATGGCAGGGGTTGGAAGGGCCCTCGGGAGATCGTCTAGTCCAACCCTCCTGCTAAAGCAGGTTCACCTAGAGCATGTTACACAGGACATCATCCAGGTGGGCTTTGAATATCTCCAGAGAACGCAGAGGTGGTTTCTGCTTTAAAAGAAGGGAAGCGGTAATGTCCTTAAAAAATGGCTTTTGGAGAGAGTTTAAGTTGTGAGGAAGAATCATGGTGCTGAAAGTCCATGTGGCTTGAGGATGTGTCTACTTCAACGCTTTGAGAAGAACCTTGAGGTTGTTCCCACCTGAGCCGAGGTGCTGTGGTCTGCAGTGAGCAGCTCAACCAGCAGCATTTTTTTGAATTAGTATTGCTTTAAAAGAAAATGTGGGTTTTTTTTTTTATAATCACTATACTGAAACAACAAATACTTTCTTGTGCTGGTTACTGTGTAAGCAAATACCGTGGGTACTTCCTGTCCCCAATAACTGAAGGAGCTGTTCCATAATTCATTGCTCTGATGGCTCTTCCAAAGCTTGGCTCTGTTCTTGTTTGCTGTGTTTTTCCAGTGAGGCTTTGGTTGAATCAGTTAGCTTCTGTTCTTTCTGTGAAATGGGGACTAACTTTTTTTGCCACAGAGGTGTTTTGGGAAGTACATAGATATATTGGAATGCTTTGGTGTTTTGGTAGCTGAGTCCTGATAAATGTTTGTTTGCTGCTGCTTATGAGATTTACTGAAACAGGTTATGGTAGGTAGTAACATGCCATTTACAAACAGAATAGGCTTTGTTAGAGTGTGGGTAGGAGAGTTGACAAAACAGTTTGAGTTATTATAATGTAGGTTGTTAACAATTGATTTAAAATTAAATCTTATCTGTGCATCTGCTGAGCTGGAGCAACCGGAAATCAGTGCACAGCTACAGTCAAATAAATACCCAGTTTGTCTAAATAACAATCAGCTTGCTTATGCACAAATGCATGTCTCCAGTAAAGAGCAAACAAGCGAGCCCTGCATATAGTCAGGCTTTTCTGATCATGTAACAGTGTTAATTTGTAGGTTCAGTAAAATCTGAGCTGTTAGTCTATTGTATTTGCTGTTGTACACAAAGGTAGAGCAGACTAACACTGTAATTTCTGTTAAACTTGTCTTGGCTTCCAAAGGAATTAATACCACAGAATTATGATAGAATGGAATCTTTAATTCTGAAGGTGATCAGTTTGGTACAGAACCTAAAATATTGTCAAAGCACTGTCTTTTAGAAGCCTTTTTGGATAAGTGTGTATTTACAGATGTTCCTCAATGTGCCCCATATATTTGAAAGCAAAGATTGCTTAAAGCTGCCTTTTTGTTTTTTAGGAACAAAATATAGATCCTCTTTGACAGTAGGCGACTGCTTTGGTATGGGGAAGACTGCTTATAACGATGGAGACTACTATCACACAGTACTCTGGATGGAACAAGCCTTGAAACAACACGATGAGGGGGAGGAAACAACAGTCAGCAAAGTGGAGATCCTAGATTATCTCAGCTATGCTGTTTTCCAGTTTGGGGATTTACACAGAGCCATGGAGCTTACCAGACGTCTGATATCCCTTGGTAAGAACAAGAAACGCTGTTCTAGTGTTGCCAGCAACAGCCAAGAACAGTCATGGCCCATACATATTGGTGAGCTGACTGGAGGAATATCCTGCCGGATAACTTTGCAATAAAGATAGGTGAAAAAAAAAACCAGTCTACTTGTAGCATGTTAAAGATATATGAAGTATCTTCTAGTGTTAAGCTGTTATTACCCAAAGGCTGCAGTACCTGTGTGCTTTGTTTCAGTGTACTGAGATGTTAGGTTTGGTAATGGTTAAAGCCTGGGTTGTTTTGAGTGGAGAGCAAGGCTACCACAGACTTAGGCAGAGTGGTGGATCTTTGTAAAGTCCTGCTGACCTCACATATTCCTGTTTATTCCTCAGTGTAGGTACTGTTTGATGCCAGAACAATACTTTGTCTGAGATCTTAAAGCATTTATTTTTAAATATTCAGAACAGATTGAGTTTCATAAAGCCTCTGTTTCTCTGGGTTTCTAGCTTTCCCTTGAGTAAGCAAATAAGCATTGCTTCCTATACAACTCTGCCTCCTGCATAGGAAAGATTTATCCTCTGCAATTAGAATTAACATCTACTGTGTTATGTATTTGTATGTTTTTAATCAGCTGTGGTTCTTAATTTGGATGTTAGCTGTATCCTGGGAGTGGGTGAAACCTTTCTATTGAAAAATATGTATCAGTCTCATTTCTGCAGGCACTGGAATTCATAGATTAAAATTTACAAGAACGTGAATATGTATTGAATCTAGCTCCCTCTGCACTAATAGGGTTTAGCACTGATAGAATGCAAATCCTTATCAGCACCAAACAGTGGAACAGACTTGGCAGTCCCCTCTGGGAGCAGCAGCTTCCGCTGCTCAGGGCTCAACTTCCTTATCTGGCCACTATTAGCCCATGCTCTAATGAGTGGTTACTTCTGTGGCCGCCTGGGTTAGCTAAATAAGATAAACACAAGAAGCTTGGGAAGGTCAGAAGGGAAAGAAACTGTTCTAGGTGCAACATCTAGAGGTGGATGCGGTAGGTGGGCTGTCAAGTGGTAACACATACCTCCAAGTTCTGCTGACTTTGGAGGAAGTCTTTGGGACTGGAGTCTGTGGCTGGGACTCCACCACAGTCCTTGGTTAAAGCATGCTTGTGCGATGTGGATGAAAAGCATGGTGGAGAGGAGGGGTGCAACAAGTAGGCTAGCTTGATCTCTGCTGATAAGCTCTAGGACCTGCTTATCTTGGGTAGAACTGGGTAGAAAAGTTGAAAGAAAAGGAGGGATTTGAAGGGCAAAAACTCCTAATTTTTTTTTTTTCTGAAATACAAGTTTTGTGATGAGTCCTTCCAGAAATGATTCTTTCACAGTCTATGCCCATCTTCCCTCTGCAAATACAGAAGTTTCCCAGTGCTGGTTTTCAGTGCAGACTGGAGCCAATGCCTTTGATTGCTTTAGGATGGGGAGAATTATTGCTGTCTTGATACAAAGACTTGTGTGTTAAAAGTTCCTGAGATTGAATGAATCACTGGTCCTGTCTGTTTTTCTCCCAATGAAGACAGTACACATGAGAGAGCAGGCAGTAATCTGAGATACTTTGAGAAGCTGCTGGAGAAGGAGAGAGAAGAGAAGGAGAAAGAAAAATCAAATAAGACTGTGATGACGACAGAACCTGTGGTGCAAAGTGGTGCCTATGAGAGGCCTCTTGACTACTTGCCAGAGCGTGATATCTATGAGGCCCTTTGCAGAGGTGAAGGGGTAAAAATGGTAAGAGAAATGCAAGAATTTCCTGACTATGCTGCCTTTGCATAAGGGTGATCAAGCTTGGTGGGACATGTTAAGTTTTTCCTTCTGTGAAGCTTTTTTTAAGAAAAAATTGAATGTATTTCTGTCCAGGCTGAGCTTTGTACCTTATGTCTTGGCTTCTCTATCTTTAGCTGTTAATCCTAGACAGAAAAACAGCTCTCAACTGTACTTCTTAAAGGGTGTTGAAAATTGATTCTCCTCAGTCTGTCTACTTGGCCATTTCAGAGGCTGGCTGTACAGATACTAGGAGGCTTTTTCCCCTGAGAGCTCATTATGCTTTGCCATGCTTAACAGAATCGCATTATGCCTTCCCGCTTGCATCTTAAAGACGTCCTTATGGGGTGACTATTTTGACCAACCAATCTCCAGTACCTCTCAACAAACATGGCTTTAATTCTCTGTGCAAGGAAAGGAATCAATTATTTCATCTACATAGTCCTAATTAGAAGAACCAGACTTTTTTTACAGCTTGCTGTTTGTTTAGTTATTTGCTTAATCTGTAACTGATTATGATTTAATTCTCCTAAAGGTTAGTGTTTCAGATGTTGCTCAGTGGTCTCCTAAGTGGCGTATGTTGTTTTTTTTATTTGCAGTAAATTTCAGAATCACTCAGGCTTACCTCTTAAATTTGTTAGTCAGCTGATGGCTTTTACAGTGTTTGTGGAATGAAGCTCACTTTCTTTTTATGTCTTGCCTGTTTTAAGTTCGTGAAAAGTCATTGAGCAAACAGTGTTTTGTTTGGTGTTCTGTTTCAGACACCTCGAAGACAGAAAAGGCTGTTTTGTAGGTACCATGATGGAAACAGAAATCCTAATCTGCTCATAGCACCCTTTAAGGAAGAAGATGAATGGGATAGCCCTCATATTGTACGATACTATGATGTCATGTCTGATGAAGAAATTGAGAAAATTAAACAACTAGCTAAGCCAAGGGTAAGCTTCCCTTCTTCCATCTCACTGATGGCTGTTAATTCCATGTTGTAATCTCTATTAGCAAAGGATTTGAAAGATCTGGTTTCATACTACAGATGATACGCTGCAGCTGTGAGCCTAAGGGGGATGATTTCAAAACTGCCTGGTGATGTAGGACTGTAAAGCCCAGGCTCCTGAAGGTATTTATGCATTGTTGCACTTAATCATGCAGGGTTCTCAGTAAAGGGCTTTAAAAGCCTTTTGGGAAACTGGGGCTTAGACCTGAAAAGGCATATGACTGGCTTACAGTGGTAGAGTAGGTGTCCAATATGCCTTAAGTCTGCCTCTTGAAATGGAGCCAAACTTCAAATCAAGATTTTAAAAAGCCCAAATCCCAGCAGAAGTGGGAAGAAACAATGGTTTGTGGGTTTTCTGTGTTGTGATAGAAGAACATCTAGGGGTTTGGTTTTCTGCTTTAGGTAACCTGGAATCCACTGCTGCTGTGTTAAACTGTACTCTAGACCTGCACAGAAGCAGGCACTTTAGATGCCATGATGCATCCACGAGTGGAACTGTGGCGTTCTCCTGGAGCCACACAGAGCTCACTGTGAATAATGTGATACAGTTAACACAGTGGAGAAATCATTTGTGCTCATAAGTAATTCCCAGTCTGGTACTTAAAAGGATGGAATACTTGTAAGGATGAACGCACAATGCAGTCATTTTCCCAGAGCTCTTTAGATCCAACTCTTCCACCTAGGTAGCTGTCTGTTGGGCAGCAGAGCAACAGATGCGGTAGCTTCAGTGTGCTAAGTGTAGATCCAACTCAAAGTAGCAGCTTTGAGTAGGAGCCCTCATTTTAATGCAATATGTGTTATCCATGGTGTGAATTCTAGTGACTGCATACAAAAAAGAGCAGCCTACCTAATGCAAAGCTAGTGGTTATCTCATCTGATTTTCCTGGAGGTGGAATTTCCTGTCTGTTTCCTTTCTGGCAAAAAAAAAAATGTGGCAGTGTGAGGTGAGTAGTAGGGGCTACACCTCACTTTTCTCTCAGGTCTGACAAGCATGTGAAACTGAACACTTCTATTTTTATAGATGAATGGTTCATTTTAGCACTCTTCTAGCTACCGCTATGAAATGTGATACTAAAATTCCAGTCAGGAATTACCCTTCTGTATGTATTTCTAAATCTAAACATAGTTAGAAACAGATTGAGAAACTGATGCTTCCTAAGAACATTAATAATTTGGGATGTTTGTGAAGCTGGACTTCTATGACTACCAGCCAGCTGTGGGAGTGTTGGCAGAACACTCCTGTCTCGGTGAGGACTCTCACCTCCATAAATGGAGATTTTTTCCTATTACATCATACTATAAAACTTCAAGAGCTTCAGATAAAATGGAAACATTCAAATAGGGCATATCGCTTAATCTGTTATCAAATTAAGCACATTCTAAATAAGGCAGCTATTAATTTTTTATTTGGTTTTTCCCTTTTGTTCAAAGATTTATGGAAAGTCTTAAGTCTTGCTCACTGAGCTTTGCTTATATTACTACTGTCAGAGGAATTCTTCATATAATCTGTGTAGCGTAGAACTGGGATCAGTCCCTGTAAGAGCAGGTAAATATTGCAGTCTTAAGTTTCAGATGAAAGTTTTCAATTAAAAAACCAAACCACTTTCTTAACTTGTTTTTTCTAAATCTGTCTATAGCTCAGCTGCAGGAATAGCTTCAAATTCTGCAGTGCTGCTGGAAGAATGGAAAACGCAAGCCCTGTGATGAGATGGTCCTTAATAAATGTAGCTTTATTTCAGCAAGGAAATTTTAGCTGGTAACCATGGAAGCTTTCAGACAGAACTCTGAAGTAGTATGTTAGTTTTGGGCTCAGAAAGATGAGAGCTTCCTTTGTTCTGAAATGAATTTGCAAGAAATACCTACTTTTGGGTCCAAGTGCTTTAACATTTTCTGCAGTTTACACTTGCCAATATTTTTTGTTTTTTAGAGAAACAACATCTGTACGTGATTGAGAGTAGCTCTCTTCAAGTTGGTTTTCATGCTTGTCTTGCAAAATGCAATCACTTTTACTCCAATTCCAAAAAGTAGTTCCAACTTTTCAGGCAATACATCAGAGCTGACAGGGAAGGGTCAAGAAAATTCTTAACTTTATTGGTGTGGATAGCATTGGGATAGGTCTGCCATGAAAGTATGAGGATGCTTATTCCTAAAGTTCTGGATGTTACTTGCAGTACAGGCATGCCTGAACAGGCAAAGCTGTGACATGGAGGAGGACACACGAATACCTTTGAACTCAGTGCTGTAGGATTTCAGCAATACAGAATTTCAGAAGGAAAAGCCAACAGAGTGTGTCCTAAACTAAATGCAGTCTCTAAGAGGAAGGCTGGATGGAGCTTCAGACCAATCCAGTGTGTTATGATGATTTTTCAAAGCCCAGCAAATGCTGATTATAAGGCTGCTTTCTCCACCCTAAGACAGGAAGCCTCACATTTATCACTCAGTTGTACCAAGTGAAGTATAGATTATATGTCCTAAATGAAGAAGCCTGCCTACCGGGAGGAGAAGTGGTCTGTTGGCATACAGAGGAGATATGGAATAATATGAATATGATCGGGCTTATTTTAGTTCTGATTTATTTAGATCAAATGCTAGGTGCGGAAATCAAGCCAGCATATACAAGCTTGAAAATGGCAGTAGAATGAAAAGTTTGGGAAGCTAAATTATACCCTAAAAAGCTATGCTCCATTGTAGAAGAACAACATTCTGTCAGCCTGCTTCTTCTGTTATGATTTATGCAGGAGAACTCTGGAACAAAATAACAGTGAGTCAGAATTACAGGAACAGCTTTGCCAAGAACTCTTGTATAGGGACAAGACAGCTGACATGGATTGTAAAGCTGGCTGGAGACTTATTTGAGGAAAAATGAAGGAAATAATGACTGCACACGCTGAAGAAAATGCAAATAAAAAGGCTTTCTGTGACCTGTAATTAAGTGGAAGGAAGGAAGCATGATTTAAAGTGTTTGTGGTTTGCAGGAATTAAATTTAAATGTGGTCTGAGTTTACAGTCAAATCAAGGAGTGTCCCAGTTCTTGTTCTCAGCTGCAAGTATAAAACCAAAGTGACCTGTTATGTTATACTAGCAGCAGTCTGTTGTTCTGACACCACAGCAAACCTGATCCATTTTGCCAAGTTCCAAATTTTTCCTACAAGTATGGTGACGTGGCCTAATGGGGGTGATGCATTGCTCACTGTTTAAAATGTATGGGTGAACTGTGCTCTTGCAGAGTTACCTTCATAATGTAGTAACGTTATCTCAAACAGTCTCTGAATTTAGATGTTCCAGGCATCTTCCAACTGGAAAATCTGAGCGTGGTAATGTTGAGAGTTGTCCTCTTGTGGATTTGCCTGCCCCATAACTTGTAACTCATTCTGTAAAAGTTTTCACTTCTTACTTTTCATCTAAGAATAAGGTTGGGATTTTTTAGTCCACATGAGGAGCAGGCTGATTAGATTTATGGAGTATTCAGTGATTTTTCTCTTTGCCAGGAACTTGGGCTTCCTATGTTGTTAACTTTTGTTGTTCTCTCTTGCTAATATTGACTCCAGCTGTTTAAAAATACCTTCAAAACCTGTTCAGCAAGCAGTACTTGTGGATTTAATAATATCATGGCTTATGCAGTCAGTCAAACTCTTTTTCAAGGGTCAAATGCAGGTGATGGATTGCACTTGTGTTTCTCCATGTACTATTCTAGCATGAAATTGAAACAAACTCTTGGTTGGAGCTATAACTTTCATCCAGCGATATATTGAAGTCGGACAAATCAGATGTTGATTTTGGTTAAGATGAGAAATTTTTTTTCTAACCTGTAGTTGATGTGTTTCTTCCCCCTTGGGATTTTTTTGACACAGCTGGCACGAGCCACAGTACGCGATCCCAAAACCGGTGTCCTTACAGTGGCTAGCTACAGGGTATCAAAAAGGTAAGCACAGAGAAGAGTCCAGCTTTAAGGTTTTTGTGTTTAACAGCTGTCATCTGTTACCTACAGCTGGAAACTTTAAGTGCTTTGCATGTAGCAAAAGCTTGCACAAGAAATGCATGATAAATGGCTCTTTTAGCCATTTGACTGAGGGCAGAAGAATCCTTCTGCCTGGGGAAATGGGTGGTTGTGGTTGGTATTCCAAAATAACAATCTTTCTCTTACCCTAGCTCATGGTTGGAAGAAGATGACGATCCTGTTGTGGCCAAGGTGAATCAACGGATGCAGCAGATCACAGGGTTAACAGTGAAAACAGCCGAACTATTGCAGGTTGGTACAGCTGTCTTGTCAGACTTCATCCTGGTAAAATGAGCTGCTGCTCAGGGTGGTCTGGTGCTTATGCACGTATAAACACAGGCTGGCTCTTACCCAGTCTATCCAGACCAAGCACACAGAGCAGGTAAGGTGTTTATGGTGTGTGAGGCGTTCCCAGCTGCTGTAAGGACCTGGCAGGTAGATGTTTTCCCTTTGTGTACCAGGCAGAGAAGGGTGGAGATACCAAACAAATAAAGATAACTTTGTGCAGGTGCTTGTGATTTACCAGTCTGTTTTGAGGGAAATGCCTGCCTCTTATTTTCAAGTCTGCAAAAGTTGAACCTTCTTCCTCCTAGTTGCATGTTTCAAAGACCCAAATAGTTTTTATGCTCCTGCTATATTCTCATATGAAGTCTGATCTTTGTGCATTGGGGAGAGGAAGGAGACTGGGAGTGCTACAGCACTGCCGGAGTAGCTGTACCTTAGCCTGTTTACTGCTTCTCTTCCTCTGAGCTCCTTGAATTCCTGTTTTAGAGCCTGACTGAAGTGCTGGTGATTACTGGCTATCCACAGAAACCAGATAATTGTGTAGTGATCTGGGAGACATGTTAAATGCAGCCTCAGAGTAACTAAATCAGTTAAGTTATGCGATCTTTAGATAAAGTAAGCAACGTGGTGCTTTTAAGCTGCTTTGAGCTTTCTGTGTTCCTGGATGGGCATGTGTATGTAACGGGTCATACATGTGTGACAGTCTAATTCTAGGCTGTGTATCTCCTAGTTTGGATACACGTACTAGAGAAATACATGCACTTTGATCCCTCTTCAGAGGAGGGAGCAAGAGAGTGGTAAAACTATTGCTGTTCATTCATGTTAAATGCTGTGGTAGTGATAAGAGTGCTGCCATTGAAAAACATAGGGTACTGAGAAATACTCTT